ACCAGCCATTTCTTCATCCTGGAGATCATCACCAGGCTTTACATTGAGGTCAATTGCAAATTTTTTTGACATTGTTAGAGGTAGTGATGATATATAATTATTTTTCAAGAAATGTCAAAGAAAGAGGTTGTCTGAGAGAAAGTAGGGGTTTTGTGAACAAATTAGAAAAAAAAAAATATACATAAATGAAAAAGATCTCTTTTATTTTTTAGTATATAAAGCAACGTCACTCAACCTGTTTTTAATCTTTATTCTCTCTTCTTCCCCCAGTTTACAAAATAACGACAACTATCATGCTTCGTACCATTGCTACAAAGAGACCTCAATTGTCACTTGCAACAACTGCTATGGCAGGCACTACCATGAGGGCGACGCGCATGGTATGTTAATTACCAAAAATTCAGAACACGGAACAGACGGGACGCGAAATTTTATAAATTAAATGGCCCAACAAATGAATGTAAAACTCGAGACATGGTGCCGTAGAATCAGACTATTCTAACAAAGGAGGCGTCTATTACTTTATTCTTGACCTACACCATTCTCTCAATAATAATATAGGGTTTAACTGCACCTTCAGCTCTTGTCCTGCGCAGATCCTTTGCCTCTCGATACGGAGATGATGGTGGATATTCAAGCTGGAGTGGTGGACTCTCAAATACAAGAAGGTCCCTCCCTCTCAATACGGTATTAACTTGATTTCATACACCATACCTGCTACAGATGCAAGGAGGCCACCCTGCACAATCTAACCAATGCATGGTCAAACTGCAATATAGATTATCAAGTTTGTCCCACAACAGGAGGCATGGATTGTGGAACGCATGGGACGTTTTTCACGTGTATTGGAGCCGGGTCTTCAAATTCTAATGCCATTTCTGGATAGAGTCAAATACGTCAAGAGCTTGAAAGAAGTAGCCATCGAGATCCCGAGTCAGAGTGCTATTACTCAAGGTACTCAATGGATAACAAGTCACAGCAAACAAAATGGATTAAAGGCTAACAAAAATCTCCTTTTTTAGACAACGTTACGCTTGATCTGGACGGAGTGCTGTACTTTAGAGTTGTGGACCCGTATAAGGCATCATATGGAGTTGAAGATGCTGAATTCTCAGTTGCACAGCTTGCTCAAACGACTATGCGTGCAGAAATAGGTCAAATGACATTGGATCGTACTCTTGCAGAGCGTGCTCACCTTAATTCTAATATCGTGGAAGCCATTAATACCGCAGCAGCAGATTGGGGAATTCAATGTCTTCGTTATGAAATACGCGATATCCATCCCCCCGCCAAGGTTGTGGAGAGCATGCACCAACAAGTTTCTGCAGAGCGTACCAAGAGAGCACAGATCCTTGACTCTGAAGGTATTTTATTTGTAAAATTGTACTAAGTCATGCATCAGGTAATTGTACTAAGCTATATTAACACTTTGATCTATAGGTTCTCGACAGGCTGCCATCAACGTTGCTGAGGGTCATAAACAATCTACCATCCTTCAATCAGAGGCTGACCGCTCAGAGCAAATTAACAGAGCTACTGGTGAAGCAGAAGCTATCTTACTTCGTGCTCAAGCTAGTGCTGAGGGTATCCGTCGTATTGCCGAGGCTATCACTAACACACCAGGAGGACACCATGCTGTTTCCTTAACTGTAGCAGACAAATATGTTGAGGCATTTGCTCAACTTGCAAAGGAGTCAAATACTCTTATCTTACCGGCGAATGCTGGGGATGCTTCTAATATGGTTGCTCAGGCGTTGACCATTTATGATAGTATTACAAAGAAACGTGGGGTTAATCCTGAATTGCCAACAACGACATCATCAGTTATCTCTACCGATAAACTACTCAAGTAGTCAAGTAGAAACACAAAATAAATCCAGAATAATTTAGTCACTTGATGGTTTTGCAAGCGCTCAGCGAATGAACCCCGCCGTAGTCAAATAAAATGTTTGTGTGGGGAAGTTTAGTGCGCCTTGTCTACTGACACAATTGGTTCCAATAATTATTCACCCTTCGCTTTTTTGACAAAAGAAAAAAGGTCCGTGTCCAGAAAGCGCTTGGCTTTTCGACTTAAAAGGATTACCCTTCTTCCTCTCTCTTTTTTCTCTCTTTTTTTTTCTCTTTTTTTTTCTCTTATTTCATTACTTCTTCAACAGAAACCCTTTCTCTTTACGCACAGTAATTGGCATTCGCCCATATTTATCCCACCTGTATCAACTTCACCCTTTAATTGTTCCCTCTGTTCTCAAGTGTTACAAGGTCGAATTTCAAGACAGGAGGAACATACACTTAGAATCAAAAAAAAAAAACAATATTAATATAAAAGGACCATGGATATAATCTCCCCTCATATTCCGCTGTCGCTCATTGGGGCCTTGGTACTTTACCCATTCATGTTCACGACCCTTCAACATCAGAAATGGGTTCGAGACATCCTTCCTCTAAAGGCCGATAACCAAAAAATATATCATCTTTGCAACAAGATTGTTGCTTCAACTCATTCAACTATAATGACAATTACTGGAACTTATTTACTCATGTCGGTCGACTGGAGCAAGAATGACATTTCAACATACAAGTCACCCATTACATTCTTCTTGGTTGGTCTTGAGCTTGGCTACCTGACCCAGGATACAGCCTTTGAGTTTTATCAGCGTGTAAAGTTTGGTATTGGAAGTAACCTGATCCTTTTCCATCATATATGTGTGATAATGGGTTCAGCCTATTATCTTCACTCTTTAACCTTGGATAACCCCGGACCTTATTTCATTGGAATGCTTTCTCTAATGAACTTGAGCACTCCATTACTGCATCTACGATGGACTCTTCAAAGCCGAGGTCAAACTTTCTTCAACTCAAGACTTAAACGCGCAATTGACACTTCACTTTTAGTCTCGTACTTTTGGTGCAGAGTCTTTGGAAATTGGTGGATGGGTGTTGCTATTGGAAGAAAGCTGGGTGTTTCTTGGTATCATGTTCCATGGCATATTGGAAAGATCTTCACAATCACAACAACTATCATGTTCTTGATGAACTTGGTCTGGTGGCTCATTTTGGCGAAACAATGGCTCAAGTCTGTTCAGCGCTTTTATTTCACAGCCGTCGAGACAAAAGCCAAAGCGATCTGAAACTCTTTTCTTTGTTGTCTCTCTTCTTCTTCGACTTCTTCTTTGTCCATTGTATTATTTATTGTGTAGCAACGTGCTCAGAGAGTTATGATGCATTAATAAACATACCAGTAATAAAATGGATACTGTTTCTTCTTGTCAACATTTTATGCAGCGTGTGCAGCATACCTTCTCTCGTGCTTTTCATCTTTTAATTTTTTAAATGTTTCCACAGTTAGGTGTTAGGGACCTTGATCTCTTCGAGGCCATCTATATGTTTAGCCTATTTTGTTTGTCCTCAGGCTGATTTTTTTTCTTTGGGGAAAGGAGTATTTGTTATTACTAAGAAACTAATAAAAAAGGACAAAAGGACTTGCTGCGCTGGCCATGCCGCACATTCCATCTTGAATCACGTGTGTATACACACTAACGTACCAAAAGAACATTTTTTTATGGTTGAGAGAAAAGGCAAGCACATATGATCAAAATTTGTAATTCTCTTTATCGGGAACATGGATATTTATATCATCCATGTCAGCGAAAAATGATAACTCCGGAAAGTGTAGAGTTTTTGGGTTAAATCAATCCAAATTTGGTAATATTTGTGCTGTATATAACAACTTTCCTGTTTCTTGGCTCACACTCGACGCGATATCGATATCAACTTTAAAAAAAGCT